AAATGTGAAGTAAGTGCCAAAGAAAAAATAACTGCAAATATTCAACTTTCAACTAGTAAATGCTTTGATTTTTGCCAGTTTTTACTTATAAATACGGTCTATAATATAATCGTACATACAAGAAAGTGCATTGAATTTCCCATGCAATTTCTAGTACAAAAAACCATACGTGAAAATGTACCTTTAGTCTCAAAATGAAATGGCCCTGTAGATTACGCTTGTAGAATTCCATGTAAATGAAACGGTGTTGAGAAAAAGTCAATCGAAACATTACAAAAAATTGAGAGTAGGGTGAGTCCAAAATATGAGGCATAGTTCTGTACCATCAAAAAATTTAAATTTATATTGTCACTGATTTTCTAGTGAATAATTATTTCCGGAAATGATCCTTCTTCAATCTCAGATTTTTAATCGTAACTTTTCTATGTGATTCTTTACTGATGATGGCGGTTTCTACCATTGATTCTTTTATTCGTCCATATAGAAATCTAAATTTTAAATAAATCCGTGTATTGCTAAAATCTAGGAAGATCAGGAAGGGAAATAAAAAAGTTCATTAACCATTACGCCTGAAAGGAAAGGAGAAAAGCATTAACAAACATTATATACATCCTGTGGTCGGTGCAATAAGGCAGGAACCACACACAACACGTGCTCCTGGTTTGTTCTTGTTCGCTTCCGTCGAAAGCTCATTCCAGCACATCTTTTTATGCGTTCGCGTTTTCATTAACTACATACACTCACTTCGTCCATATGCAAATCTGTTTATAGCCCGTAAGTATGAATGAAGTTGTACGCGTGTAAAGAAGGCGAGTTTTTATTGCCAATTCATTTTTTCTGGGAACGTTATTTATTTAAAAAAAAAAGACGAATTTTCCGGTTATTTTTAAGATTCTTACGGAAACTTTCTGCTAAGCTACAGGTTTATTTATTTTAAAAATGCAGCTGCTGGCCTGTTTGAAATCGTAGTTGGTTTACGGAAACGGTATATAGTTATTGAATTAAAAGGTGCAGTGGTGGTGCCAGAAATAGACGCTCACCACCGCGACGCGTCCCTGGCTTTCTATAGGCGACAATGAACTCGTGACTTTAATACGCTTTAAGTATGTCGAAACATTTTGGAATTCAGACGTTTCTCAATCGACTTCGGATTACGCCAAATTTTACACAAAAAAATTAGAGTTAGTTGGAGTAGTAATTGCCACCTTTGAGAAATCTTCACCATATACTAAATATAAAGGTGCACTGTGCAAGAAAAGGTAAATACTTAAATAGCAGGGCGTTGCAGACTCTTGCAGGCAGTTGTTCCATCTATATTTAGCATAGGTACTTTCTTATGTTTCATATAAGGCGTTGGATAAGCCAAACAATTGGTTCTAATTGATAGGTAATTATAGGTAGCTTGGAACACACCATGGAATGACATCTTTGAGGTGGTATCCTACTAGGTCTGAATGTAGGTATACGCTTTTTCCTCACTCCCTTAAAATTTTTCACAATAACTTGTGCTTGTGGAATAGTGTTCCTCTTTTCCTTTCTCCCGCCAGCCATACAAAGACGCTTTTCCTATACTTTAACAAGAATTGCTTCAAAAGCAGTAACCATAGCAAATCTTCCAATTGAATAATTGCAAAACCCTAGTAAGCCGAAAGTATCCGTGTTTGAAATATGCATACACCACCTGGTAAGTGTATATTTTTAGCATGGAAATAAACCACAGCGTCAAATTGGTGGTGAATGAAAATACGTAGGTATGTCTGGAAAATTCGCTACCATGAGAATCATCACTGAGGTGGTATCCATAAAGGTGCACTAGGTCTGAATGTAGGTATACGCTTTTTCCTCACTCCCTTAAAATTTTTCACAATAACTTGTGCTTGTGGAATAGTGTTCCTCTTTTCCTTTCTCCCGCCAGCCATACAAAGACGCTTTTCCTATACTTTAACAAGAATTGCTTCAAAAGCAGTAACCATAGCAAATCTTCCAATTGAATAATTGCAAAACCCTAGTAAGCCGAAAGTATCCGTGTTTGAAATATGCATACACCACCTGGTAAGTGTATATTTTTAGCATGGAAATAAACCACAGCGTCAAATTGGTGGTGAATGAAAATACGTAGGTATGTCTGGAAAATTCGCTATTTCATTAATTGCAATGGCCAACAGAGAACAACTCAATGTTGATCCCTGTGGAACACCATTTTCTAGCACATTTTCGTCTGAACAAATATCACCAATCCTAACGACGAATTTTCGGTTATCCATAAAGGATTGCACAAATTTGGGTAGCTTCCCTTTCAGTTCATATTTGAACATTTTTTCCAGGACCCGTGCCTCCAAGTCATGTCGTATGCATCCGATATATCGAAAAATACCTGCCACCAGATGTTCCCTAACATCGAAAGCCTTTAATATTTTATTACTCAACCGAACTGGTTGTATGGTCAGTAGTGGACCTTCCTTTTCGGAATCCCGCTTGGTACGATGCCATTATTCCGTTTCCTTCCAGAAACTCCTGGAGTCTCTCGTTAACCATACGTTCTAGCAGTTTTCCTACACAGGAGGTCAGACTTATTGGTCGATAGTGTTTTGCAAGCATCGTGTCTTTACCCGGTTTTAAGATAGGAACAATTATGGATTTTCTCCATTCTGTAGGGTAAGTACACTTTTGCCAGCAAGAGTTGTAATAATCAGGGGACTGGGTAACTGCGGGCCAGGTGGAATTGCATAGGTTACGGGCCATTAAAGTATTAGTGTAGTAGGCGGGGGGGGGGGGGGGGGGGTTAGCGTCTCTTATCCTTTCTCGAAAATAAATTACCATACAGTTTTTTTTAAATTGCAGCTGATAATTAAAAGTAACAAAATATACAATCCACACGAGGTGCGTCGCCTATCATTGTATTTCAGCACCTTCATGCTACGACAAAAAATGATAAATTCATTGTAAAACACTTCAATTAAAACAGAATTTTTTAACAACCTAACATCAACCCCAATTAGAGAAACATGTTAATAATTTATTAATAGTGCAAGAAACTAAATACAGCACATACTTATAAATTTCCAACGGGCCATTATGACGTACAGGCCAGGTGGCAATCGCCCCCCGCCCCCCCGGGCCAGTGCGCCCCTGGTTATACACTGCCTTTTTTTGAGCCCCGAAAAAAAAATTGTCTCAGATCGACCCGGAAAAAAAATTTTCTTATAGAATGTGGCCTGTAAAATCCATAATTTCAAACAGTTCCAAGATTGGGCTACTAGTTCAAAAGTTACAGCCCTTTGAATTTTTTTTCGAATTTGGTTTCTAGTCTATAACTTTTGATTGAGAAGTCTGATCGAAAAAGTACGAATTGTTTTGGATTCTACGCACCAAAGTTAATAAGAAAAAGTGTTTTCCCGAGAAATTTTGGTGCAGTCGATTTTTGGTAAAAAAGGAAGGTTATACACTGCCTTTTTTTTGAGCCCCGAAAAAAAAATTGTCTCAGATCGACCCGGAAAAAAAATTTTCTTATAGAATGTGGCCTGTAGAAACCACAATTTCAAACAGTTCCAAGATTGGGCTACTAGTTCAAAAGTTACAGCCCTTTGAATTTTCTTTCGAAATTGGTTTTCTAGTCTATAACTTTTGATTGAGAAGTCTGATCGAAAAAGTACGAATTGTTTTGGATTCTACGCACCAAAATTAATAAGAAAAAGTGTTTTCCCGAGAAATTTTGGTGTATTCGAATTTTGGTAAAAAAGGAAGGTTATACACAGGGGCGGACTGGGTACTTACGGGCCATTAAGCCATTAAAGTATTAGTGTAGTAATGAAGGTGCCGGGGGGGGAGGGGGGTAGCTCTGAGGTGCACCACAAAAACATTTTAAAGTACGCTATCCTTATCTTCTTCATTTTTGTTTCTTCCTCTAATATACAATTAGGTGTACCTTTTGTTTACCCCTAATACGCATCCATTATTTATACTTAAACTGTATTCCCAAATCACGTTTACCCGGTTTTAAGATAGGAACAATTATTTAATTATTTCTTTCGTTTCAGGATTCAAGTGTGGAAGCATCTCATTATGGATATTATCATATCCGGGTTCACAGGGCTTGGTCTTTCGGAGGGCAACTTCTAGTTCTTCTAGTGAAAACGGTAATTTATAATCTAGCCTTTCGTCTGCGTCAAAGTTAGGCAACTCTCTCTCCTCTTCGGACTTTACACCGGATTATGCTCTTGGACGAGTAACCTCAATTATTTTGGTTATGTGCTAAACCTCGACAGTTCCACTGTATGATTTTGAGTTTGAATTTTGTTTTGAGTTTAAACGATCAGCATAGGTGTATGCTCTTAAAGATAGGATTAAGAGAGACAACAATGGAATAAATATCATTAACAAATAACAAATCATAGTGTATAAGGGACGACTACAAACAGAATAACAATTAATTTTTGAATAAGACAGACATACATATTTATCACAGTTTACTTCGTAACAATTCCACCTTATAATACATTTGTAGGTCTCGAACTTATAGATGTTTAACAGATTAAAATGCTCTAAATATAAATAAATAAATATTATATAAGTTAAAAGACACATACAAGATATAGGGATATCACAGATTCAGTAATTCAATACAAATTGTACCTAGGTAAATTATCACAGTAGAATATATCACACGAGTGTCAACACTACAGAGAGATTTTCCTAGGTTTCCCCTAGGGCCATCCTTTTTTCTTTTGTTGAAGATATTGTTTTCTCTCTAATATTGGCGAAGATGGAGTCGTCTCGCTTCCGCTTATCAACAGGCTCCGCGATTGTCAAATGGGAGTGCTGGGAAAGGTTGTCCATCCTCCCAGGTTTCGATCGGCTACTTGTTTCTCTTTCAGCACTTACATACGGTAATTCTATCGGAGGCGGAAATATGTTTTGTTTCGGCATCGATTGTTTAACATATTCAACTAAGGTAGAGGTCAGCTCTTGAATTTCGTCTTTAACTATTTCTCTGGTTTCAGATACCAGGTTGGGTTGGTTATCAGTGCTTAAGCGTGTAGTAGCATTTGAGTACGAGACGATTGAGGTAACAGCGGTTCCAAGCCTTCGTTTTGCTTCCGGATAAGACACCTTACTGGTAACCTTTATCTCTTGAATTTGTAGCTCTCTTTTATATATTTCGCATGTTTGCAGGATGTGTACCGTTGCAATTGAGGCATACGACTGGATCGTCACATGGAGAACCCGGATGTACGGATTTTCCACAGACGCATACTTGTTCCTTCTCACATTTTAGCGTTGTGTGTCCAAAACGTTGACATTTGTAACATCTCATTGGTTGAGGAACATAATTATGGTCTCACTTTCAAGGTATAAAAAGCCGCATTAATTACCCTGGCAAGTTGGGTGGCATTGAACGTAAGTATAAGATTGGGAGTATCAATGAAGGTACCTCCAACTTTGGTCCTAATTCTCTTCACCGCGACAACACTTTCTCCACTCAGTTCTTCCCATATTTCATCTTCACTACAGCTCATTAGATCCCGGATCTCCTTTACTTAAGTTTAGCGTATCATGAGGTTTCAGTGGAACTTCCAAATTACACATCCTTTTAATTTCCAGTAATCGTTTTGATTGTTTATTCGATACCGTTTTTATAAATAATAAACCCCTAACTTTCTTCATCCCTTCCACTTTCCCAATTAAGCCAAACAAAGCCTTATGAATCATAAAAGGACTAATTTTGGAGAAATCTCCCTCCTTTTTCTCAACAAGCAAGAACCGGGGATAGTTATCCTCCTTTTCATTACCTGTTACAGGGGGCAGGGGAAAAAACCACACTCTTCATCCATGCCAGAAGTTTGTACTTGCGTTGGGGCCTGGTCATCCACCCACAACGCCGAGCAGCCGCTTGATAAAGGTCGGGTGAGGCCTGCCCGCTTCGTCTCTCTCCCGACCGGCACTGGGGATCGTCCGAACCCCTGCGCCGTAACGTTTGTAATAGAAAGGCCCGAATTCATTAGCGTTTCTTAAAATCGTCCATCTTTGAAAGCTCCTTAAGGATATTACAAATTTTTAGAATCCTCTTAGAGCTCGCCGTAGAAATCTTGGAAAAAAATTTGAATTTTTAAGTAACTTGCAAGTTCTTTAGAAAAAATGATTTATTACCTGACCAACAGTTAACCAATAACAACGTGGCCTACATACTGCAAGGCTCTCATTTCTTATTTCTGAAAGTAAATGTCAAAAACTTGATTTTTTCATTATACACACTACCACCAGATACTTTTGCATACATTGACAACAAAAGTAATTTAGGTGGCCACGTTTTCTGTGAAATACTCCTAAATTAATTTATTTAAATTAAATTATTTCGGTTTAAACATCGAAAATAATGATGGGATATCCTGTATAGAATATTTCAATTTATTTAAGTAAATCTGGGTTTTATTTATGAAATAAGCAGAGTTGGTTCGTTTTATTTGAATTTGTGTCTCAGTGTTTAAATCCTTGCTATGGAAAATTTACAGGGCCCAATCAAAATATGACAATTTTAGTATTAAGGTTTGAAAAGCGACACTAGCCCTCAGAGACGGTCTTACTAAGTCCCATTCGCATTTTTTTATCAAAATATATGACTGTTGCGAGCCTAAGGTAACACCTACGAAATTGACTAAAATCACCGATCGTCGTCTGTTTGCTAATTAGTTCGCGCGAGTTTGTGAATATAGAGCAGTGTATTTTTACGAAGTGTACATTAGCAGAAGAAAAAACCACGGAGGTGAATAGAGAAGATGGTGGAGTAGGTAGTCCTTTTGGATAACCGCTCCGCAGTGACTGTCCATGTGTCCTACAGGAAAGATACACAAGAAACGAAGACCGCCTTCGGAATGAGGTGAGTGATAACGTATTTTGGGGGAAAAGGACCGTTTTTTGGGAAGTACGGTCAGAAAACTCCTTGAGCACAGAAAAGTGTGCACAATCAACAAAACAACGGTTGAAGCAATCATTTCGAAGGGTATTTTCACTGATTTTGAGGGCAAGAATAGCGTCACGGCAAACAAATTCGTTTTTGGTCGCGGCATGCATTAGGAGGCCAAGAAAAGATCATAGAAAACGAATTGTGGAGGCAGAAGCAAAAATAGTCAGGGGGCATGACTTCGCGCGCATTTCGACACTCTCGACCACTCGACGAACTGTTTCCAGATCATTGCGCGATTTCCTGGATATCGTTACCAAGCCCGACAAGCAAGCTCCAATTTTGCTACATTTAAGCGCCTATTTGTATCAGCAAGGGGTTGCCGTCTTCTGATAGGTCCACTGCAGAGGTCTGGGGTCCATGATCTTGTAGCACTTCATTGGAACGGAACAGTTTGTGGTAAATATATATAAGCGTTTACATGCTTTTATATCACAGATAGTACTTCTTTAACCTACGTCAATTACTTTAGTATGCAGTTAATGTTGATGTGCCTAGCTTGTTTTAACTATCTTGCGTTTTGTTCTCCAGTATTCTACATATTTCGTATTAGTTTCATGTTATTCTTGAAATATCCTTCCTTTTGGTGATCATTTTAATCTGTTAACAGGTCAACAAGTTGGCCGCCAGCAGGAACGAAAGAGGTCGTTGTGAATTGTCCTATAATGAACATCTTGGGCCGCCAGCAGAAAAGGAGGTCGTTTGTGAATTCTGTTCTAAAATCAGCAGCGTCGGTAGATTATCAGGTGAGCTGCAGTGTTTTTATTTGTTTATTAATTTGATGAATTACTTATTTCTTCTATTTTACAAAATGTGTAATTGTAGAACGCTGTGTCGCAAATTCCTGCGGGAATTTATTTTATTATTTTGTTCATTTTTGTTTGGGGCACGTCACTGCGCCAATGCTAAATAAACCATTTCCTTGGACATCGCTCGAAATGCTGCGAAATTGTAGGCGTGTCTGTAGGCGCGTTTTTGAATGCACGTACATAAATGCGTACAATAACGTCAATCTGTAGGGCGCTTAAGATCCGGTCTTTTGCGACAAGGAGTTTTGTCAGGCGAAAATTAATTAACACACGTGTTTTGTCGCAGTTAAGAAATAGGTATTTCGAGGAATTGTGCGTTATTTTAGCATTATTAGTTTGACCTGTGCTTTTTAGTTTAGCACCAAGCAACAGTTTACTTATTATCTGCACCAACGGTTAAAACTAACAATTTATTTGCACGAAACTGCAAAGTATGCACCAGCAGTGCCACGAATCTCCGGTAAAGGTTTTTGCCCTTTCGAAAAGCAAGATGATTTCTTTTATTTTCTTGATACAAAACTGACACCGTGTAATTAAAGGGATTCCTCTATTCGTGTTTTGACACTGAACGTTTCAAAATTAAATTTCCCTAAAAAAAAGGTACCACATTATAGCTATTTAAGGTGCAACGTACATTATAATGCCATTCACTTGTGCTGTGCTCCTCTACAGAAATAAAAAACAAAACTTCCGGTATGATTAAGTGAAAGGAATTTCGAGTGGGTTCTACGCCCTTAAAGATTTATTGGGTAAAACAATCCAGATGTACGAAATTTGAGTATTTAATTTTGTTTGACTCGCAAATTTGGTTAGTACACAAGAACAGAAGTCGGGAATGGGATTAAGGAATTAAGGTGTTATAAAAAGTGTCTGGAGCACGTGGTGATCTGTTTTCAGACGGGCCGTAGACACGTGTCGGAAAACAGGAAGGGGTCCTCGTTCCCCTTTAAACATCCTTTCTCCTCCCACACATCTTGAGGAAGTGCAGCAGCTTTGTATATTATGGCAGCCAACTAAATCCGTACAGATTTTTTCATCTGCCCGCTTTTGATATCTACTTTTCGAAATTAGTCGCGTACCGCGATCGCCCGAGAGCGAAAAAGCTCACGGATGTTTGTTATTTTAAGCTTGCGGTATTAAGGAGTTAATTCTTCACCTGCTTTTACACACATCAGTAGCGTAAAAATGCGCAATTGGAAACCGGAGGCATTAAAATTAAACGTTGGTACACTACACCCTCGACTCCTCGCGCTTGCTATCGTTTTATGCCACACGCCAATATCGTAAAATCACACACGTGCTATACCGATTTGCAGACATAACACAGGCTGCACCGACTTTTACCTCAATCTCCCCATGCAATATTTTACCCAATTAATTGTTTACTATTTCTGTTTCTTATAACCTCCGAAACAATGTCAGTTATACCGTAAGTGTTTTACTTTGCAAATCGAGCCATTCCGTCTTTTTTCCTTCCACTATCCAGGTTACTTGGAATTGTTTTTTAAACTCTGGCAACTAACTCACTTTCTTTCATTTAAAGTAACAAAGTATCGGCAAGGTATCCATGTCAACAAATTCGCTCCCAAAATATTCACCCCTAAGCAAGCGGATTGAGAGTATGCATTGCCGCGGGAGCTTTAAATTACAACTTTGCTACTATGTATTGATTGCCAATTTACTTTGTTTTGCTTAAAAAATGAAAATTGGGATAGTGTCACAAAAAAAACATACCCTTTAAAAATTAATTGCTCCGGTAACTAGCTCAGTCGGTTCGATTTTTATTTTTTACTTGTCTTGATGCGTGGGTTTGCTCCAGGGACCTTCCACAGCTGAAATAATTACTACAAAAAAATGGAATCTTAGTAATTTGCACTGTCCATTTCAATAACACCGACAGAAATAGTGAACTATTGATTGAGACGATTTGGAATCTACGAAGCTAAATTAATCGGGGTAGTCGTTTTTCGGGGAAAATGCCAAGGCTCCTTCCCTATATTTTGGGTTGGAAAAATGAATTTACTGAAATCGACCGGGAAAAATCGTTTCCTTGTAGATTTGAACTGCCAACAATGTGAAGATTGGGTCATTAGATCAAAAGTAACAGCCCCTTGAATTTTTTTTCGAAATTGGTTTTTACCTAAGTATAACTTTGAGTTCAGAGGTCCAATCGACAAAATACGGGACGTTTTGGAACCTACGAAGCTAAATTAATTGGAGTAGTCGTTTTTCGGGGAAAATGCAAAGGCTCCCTTCCCTATATTTCCGGTCGGAAAAATGAATTTACTGAAATCGACCGGGAAAAATCGTTTCCTTGTAGATTTGAACTGCCAACAATGTGAAGATTGGGTCATTAGATCAAAAGTAACAGCCCCTTGAATTTTTTTTCGAAATTGGTTTTTACCTAAGTATAACTTTGAGTTCAGAGGTCCAATCGACAAAATACGGGACGTTTTGGAACCTACGAAGCTAAATTAATTGGAGTAGTCGTTTTTCGGGGAAAATGCAAAGGCTCCCTTCCCTATATTTCCGGTCGGAAAAATGAATTTACTGAAATCGACCGGGGAAAATCATTTTCTTATAGATTTGAACTGCCAACAATGTGAAGATTGGGCCATTAGATCAAAAGTAACAGCCNTGGGGTAGTCGATTTTCGCTGAAAAGCAAGGCTATACACTTGCCTATTTTTTGGGTCGGAAAAATGAATTGTCTGAAATCGACCTGGAAAAAACCTTTTGTTATAGATTTTGGCCTGTAGAATCCATAACTTCAAACAGTTTGAGGACTGGGCTACTAGAGCAACTGTTACAGCCCCTTGAATTTTTTTCGAAATTTTTTTTTGCCTTTAACTTTTGATTCAGATGTCCAATCGACAAAATACGAGACGTTTTGGAATCTACGAAGCTAAATTAATTAGAGGTAGTCGTTTTCGGGAGAAAATGCAAAGGCTCCTCCCTATACTTTGGGTCGGAAAATGAATTTACTGAATCGGACAGCAGGAAAAATCATTTTCTTCATAGATGTGAACTTTCCCACATGCATGAAGATATGGGCCATTAGATTCAAAAGTAAGCAGCCTTGAATTTTTTTTTCGAAAATTGGTTTTTACCTAAGTAAACTTTGAGTTCAGAGGTCCAATCGACCAAAATTACGAGACGTTTTTGGAATATTACGAGCTGAAATAATTTGGGGCCAGTCGTTTTGGCGGGGGAAAATTGTACAAGGCTTCCTCACCTCATTATTTTGGGTCGGAAAAATGAATTTACTGAAATCGACCGGGGAAAATCATTTTCTTATAGATTTGAACTGCCCACAATGTGAACATTGGGCCATTAGATCAAAAGTAACAGCCTCTTGAAATTTTTTTCGAAATTGGTTTTTTGCCTAAGTATAACTTTGAATTCAGAGGTCCAATCGACAAAATACGAGACGTTTTAGCATCTACGAGGCTAAATTAATAGGAAAACGTGTTTTCCCAAACATTTTTGGGGTAGTCGATTTTCGGTCTAAATGCAAAGACTATACACTTGCCTATATTTTGAATTTTATGAGATCGACCGAGGAAAAAACATTTTCTTATAGAATTTGGTTGTAGAATCCATAACTGCTATAACAGTTTGAAGATTGGGCCATTAAATCAAAAGTAACAGCCCCTTGCATTTTTTTTCGAAATTGGAGTTTTGTTTATAACTTTTAATGCAGAGGTCCAATCGACAAAATACGAGACGTTTTGGAATCTACGAGGCTAAATTAATAGGAAAAATTTGCTATAGGTACATTTGCCTGTGCTTTGGGTCGGAAAATGAATTTTCTAGATCGACCAGGAAATATTTTCTTATAGATTTGGACCTGTAGAATTAACTGTTTGAAGATTGGGCCAACAAGTTACAGCCCCTTGAATTTGAAAATGAGAGCCAAGGTTTGCAGTTATACTTGTCAATTTTCTCGACATGCAGGCTGTGAATGCGGTTCAGCGCAGTCGACGGAAAAGTGTTTGCACGACTAGTGACCTAACTTTTCTTTTTGGCAGACGTACGTTTAAGCTTTCATATGAATCTTTACCTCTGCATGTTTTATAGTTGGGTCTGTGAAATTGGCAACTAATTGAAAGCACAAATGCTACTCTAAAATTAGAAGGAAGCTTGAATGTTATGGAAGAAATCTATTTTCAAAAAGAACAAAAAGTAAAGGGTTATAACTTTTGATGAAATGGACTTGTAAGTTCTGGTCGCTTTAGAATATACAAACCAAAATCTATAAGAAAAAGCCCTTTTTCTGGTCAATTTTGGTGAAACAGGCCATTTCCTGGCAGATTTTTGGGCTGCATAAGGCAAAATGACCAAAATTTTCAAAATTGGACGACTACTTCAAATGTTTGCAGAAAATGGGTTTCCAAAAGGAAAAAAGTTACTTTTTTCCTGGAAAAGGCGACGTTACTTACCTAGATCCTTAAAGGTTAATTTCGTTTTTGGAAACAGCTCTATTTTGACATCTTATAAATTTACAAACATCAAGTTTGACAAGTGACGGAGATCTAGATACAAATTACAAAACGAAAAATCTACTTAACGCCACTTCTTCCTATTTACGCACCTAAAATTATTTTTCGCGAACCGAAATAGTCTTGGCTACTTTAATACAACAATCATTTTTTATGCGTTAACCTTGTCAGAATTGGGACTGATTTACGATATTAGAGCTACTTGAGAACATTTTCAATTGGGTTAAGGTTGCGATTTTCGTAAAAATAGACGTCACACTTACAGGTGGCATGCGGATAAAGGGCGCGCGTTTCAAAAATTATGAGAAAAAATACCGATTAAAAAAGCACGTTAATTAACAAGATGAGTTCGAAAGTCAAGATGTGTACAATTTACGCTAAGGGCAGGTTAGGGTCGGTCATTAGGGGTTCAAGAGGCACGTGCCGTTTACGTAGCTTTATCTTACTCTACAGACTGAAAGTTAATTGTCCTATTCTTGTCCCTCGAGCACCTGGACCGTCTAGATTTTGTCTACATCAACCCCTGACTTCCGACTTTTGCCCCACAATTATTTCATAAAGCTTTACTAAATTTGGGCGAAATCCCTAATTTAACTTCCTCAAGTTACATCTGGGAATTCTCAAATATTCGGCAGCATACTGGGGTGGCGTATTAGAAAACCTAATCCTAATGTAATCGGCAATTGTAATGAAAGAAAAATACATACAAGTGGATGCTGAAAGAATTCGCCCCCGGCTTCTTAGGGCTAGGTACTACTCTAGAAAGTTTTTGATAGTTGAAAATCTCTAAAAAGTCCCTTTCGGATGATCCGGGGTAGGTAGATTTCTTTCCGGTACCATTACAATAGCTAGATAGAAATCTAGAAATCTATCTAAAAACGCTTGGTGATGTCTTGAATTGAAGCTTCGAAAGATTTGTGTTAAATTTGCAGTAAGTTACATGTTGACATTTTTCACACTTCGAAACTTTTCAGAAAAAGCTCTTATTGCATTTCCCGTAACAATTCAGTTACAAGTGGTTTCCCCCCTATTTTGACCCGCTCATTCTGCATGTTGCCAAGTCTGAAAAGATCCGGAAGATAGATATTCAAGATGGCGTCCAATATGGCGATTTTTGGACCACCCTGGCGTGCCTACTCTCCGTCTAGAATGACCGATTTATACAGCTCTGCACCCACGTTTTTTGGGTAAACGAACAAGATGGAAGGGTCAAAAATGAGGTCGGATTTGAAAAACCGCGACTTCTCATATGTTGGCCAAAATGGTGCCAAAAATTCCGTCTTTTCTGGTATTTCGAGTTAAATGGAAAAAAATGGCGCCAAATATTTGAATTGTTCTCGGTGAAACTACATAGTTTCCCTAACTTTTTTCAGATTGCTCTTACATGTAAGTTTCTTATTTGCTGGCGTAGGTTTTTGGGGTCGAGGAGAGCGATATTTATTCTTTATTCTTAATTTCTTTTTACTTTCTGTAGAGCAGAATTTGAATCTGACCGTGTAACTAATTAAAGATTGAATTTTGTTGATAGTGTATGTATTGAAAATTGTGCGATTATTTTATTAACCATCCTTACTATTGTTTTCACCATTCCGCAGTTATTTTCACCGACCAGCATTCAATTTTGAAGAAATTGGACCAGGAATATATCAAGTAAAATAAATTTAGGAAAGCCCAGCTGTAAAAACCAAAGAATAGCACGGTGGAAATTCGAATCGAGACGATAACCGCTTCATTCATCTGAGGTAAGCGAGTTGCTGCAATTGCAATAATTAAAAGGTACCATTATCTCAGTTACCTACTTACATTTGATTACGAAATACAGTGAACTAAATTAACACTTATTTGTATGCGGCGATATTTCTGACCTGTAGGGTTTAATTTTATTTGAATTAGAACTAGGGAACCGCTCTTTTCGAGTGGTTGACAGAATTTTGGTTTTCATTATTTCAACATTTAACAATAATAAATGTCTTATATTAACTTTTTGGAATTACTGCCAGGGAAAGTAAAAAGAGTTTGGTCAAAGAGAGGCCTAAATGAGAATTACATAAACTCTCCAAAACATATTTGTGTATAGGTTTCTAAATCAGAGCTAGCTGGAAGTAAAAGTAAAAGTACAAAAAGGTAAGTTCCAAAAGTACTCCAACACAACAAGAGGAAGAACTTACACCAGGAACCTGAGAAAACTTTCAACCGTTTGCAGGAGATTGCTGAGATGCCCTTGAAGCAGTTTCTGGGGAAGTGACACTTTCGTATGGTGAGCAAAGTGAAAACTGTCTTTCACTCTTGCAGTGTGCAAGGTCATATCACATTCTGTTCCCCAGTTATTAAGGGTAGTCTTGGCTGGTGGCTTGAATTTTTTTCTGTTTATCAATATTTCAGTTAATAAAATCGATTATAATTCCTAGATGTAGATCATCCGGGGTTGAGTCACCAGTAAGTGTGGGTGAATGTACGTATTCAGTTCATTGAAAATGAAGTTGGCTAATACCACTTTGGAACGGAATACAAGGGTGCGTTACATACTTACGCTTTTATTGTTTCTAATGAATTTTTAAGGTAATCCACTTCGATTGTCATTGGCTTCTTGGGGAGTCAATGATTGCGATATGTTATCTCAGGCGTACCGCTTTCGGCCCTTTAGAAAAGGTCGCCATGTTTTCAATCTTCTAATTGCAAATGGAGTTGGCCGACACCACTTTGGAACATGGGTGCATTAAATGCTTACCCTTTTATTACTTCTAATTTTTTAAGGGTAAATTGTCAATGATTTCTTGGAAATGGACGGAAGAGCCATTCAAAGATCGCGATCTCAGACGTAGCACTTTCTGTCCTTTAGAAAAGGTTAGCACGTTTTCATATCAAGTATCGAGTATCAAGTGATTCAAAAAAGTGATTAAAAACAGTTTTTTTTTAATTTCTTTTAACTTTTTTAATTTTCTTTTAACTTTTTTAAATTTCTTTTTACTTTTGTGAATATCTTTTAACTTTATATGTAACACTTTTGTTGTATTTGAACGGGGCCAGAGAAGGAAACAACCATGTTACTCTACATAGCGTTTATTCATTGTACGGCGAAGTCCGATAGCAATTTATGGCATAAACCTATCCGGTAGTTTGATTTGTCTTCTCTCCCTATTTAATGCTAATGGTACATTGTCAATATCACTATCACTAATTACATCATGTGGTACCTGGGTGGTTATAGATGGAGTCTCTGAATTTGACATAGGAATTGGTGGCAGGTTTAAATTTCAGCAGCTGATTACAATGACGTTTCCAAATTTTATCAATTTCAGGAACTCTACCTATACAAGTACAATTACCACGGCGCTTTAAAACTAATCCCTGCAGTGTCCCGTAGAATCCATAATTTCAAACAGTTTGAAGATTGGGCCACTAGATCAAAAGTTCCAGCCCTTTGAATTTTTTCTCGAAATTGGTTTTTTGTCCATAACTTTCGATTGAGAGGTCTAATCGAAAAAGTACGAGTCGATTTAGATTCTACGCACCAAAATTAATAAGAAAAAGTGTTTTCCCGAGAAATTTTGGAGTGGTCATTTTTTGGTAAAAAAGGAAGGTATACACTGCCTTTTTTTAAGGCTTGAAAAAAAAAATTGTCTGAGATCGACCGGGAAAAAACATTTTCTTATAGAATTTGGCCCGTAGAATCCATAATTTCAAACAGTTTGAAGATTGGGCCACTAGATCAAAAGTTACAGCCCTTTGAATTTTCTTTCGAAATTGGTTTTTTGTCCATAACTTTCGATTGAGAGGTCTAATCGAAAAAGTACGAGTCGATTTGGATTCTACGCACCAAAATTAATAAGAAAAAGTATTTCCCGAGAAATTGTGGAGTGGTCGATTTTTGATAAAACAGGAAAGTTTACACTGCCTTTTTTTGAGGCTTGAAAATAAAATTGTCTGAGATCGACCGGGAAAAAACATTTTCTTATAGAATGTGGCCTGTAGAATCCATAATTTCATGAATTGTTTTGGATTCTACGTACCAAAATTAATAAGATAAAGTGTTTTCCCGAGAAATTTTGGTGTAGTCGATGTCAAGTGTCAAGCTTATAAGAGATTTTAGGAATGATTCAAAAAAGTTAGGAGAGATCCAGAAAAAGTTAGGAGTGATTCAAAAAAGTTAGGAGTGATTCAAAAAAGTGATTCAAAAAAGTTAGGAGGAAAAAATTTTCTTGATTTAAAAAGGAATGTTTCAAAAAAAACAAAAAAAATTTTAAACTGTTTTTATTGTATTTTTCAATAGTTACATATATAATACATATTATAGATTCTCTTTTTAATTAAAACAATTTCGTTTGCTTTCACAGTTTTCATTGTTTTTTTTTGCCGAGGGTGTGTCGTGTGATGAACTAGTGCCAACTGCCAGCAAAGTGCAGTTAGGGCAGTACAATATTATTCTAGAGATGAACAAATGAAATAAGTTTCTTTTTTGCATTACAAAGATCTTCTTGTAACAGTGATAACTTAAAAAATAAAAAACACCATAGTCACTTTGATTGACGACTACTAGCTACCTTAGACCTCAATGACGGATGGACCGGAATGATGATGATGATAGCGCCGAATCACTCACCCCTACAACAATAAGATTATCCAGTAAACGTGTAGACAGGATTTCATTGTCCTACCTAAGATTTGTTGACAATTGCAGAGTTGACTAGTTCATTCGGTCTTCGCATCGGAAAAGTGTCGTCGTTAGCTAGCGATGGAGGTAGGTACTGCTTGAGACCGCCTAAAAAGTCTGATTAAAAAATATCTTGTGATGGGCAAGTATGTATCCCAAAAGAGCTGAGACATTTATGAAATAAATCAGATCAAATCAGTTGAATGTGGCCTGTAGAATCCATAATTTCAAACAGTTCCAAGATTGGGCTCCTAGATCAAAAGTTACAGCCCTTTGAATTTTCTTTCCAATGGTTTCCAGTCCATAACTTTTGATTGAGAAATCTAATCGAAAAAGTACGAACTGTTTTGGATTCTACGCCCCAAAATTAATAAGAAAAAGTTTTTTCCCGAGAAATTTTGGTGTAGTCGATTTTTGGTAAAAAAGGAAGATTATACACTGCCTTTTTTTAAGGCCCGAAAAAAAATTGTCTCAGATCGATCCGGAAATCGTGACCGATCGTGAAAATTCCCACAAGGTGGAAAATGTTGATATTTTGTAGGTACGCGATAAATCAAGAAAGAATGTTTACGCTTTAAGTAATTTATCTCCCTGTTTGGGATATTTTCCAATATACTTGCGTCCAATAAGGAAAAATCGAATACAGAAGCTATTTGTGGCTACTTGTTTATATTTCATGGAAACTCTAATGAAGGGTAATAAACATTCGTAACAATTTCAATTCTGAAAGCTTCTGCGTAGTGTACAGGCTCGCTTAAATTACTGTGGATAATTTGTTTCAGGCACTTCGGCGTAAACGTTTTAACTGCAGACATCTTAATCAAATAAGGCCGAAATGTATCCGAAATAGAGAATATTTCTGATGTAGAAGTAGAAAAATAACGTTGTGTGCGTCCACTTTTCAGTTACAGGCTGTAATGCGCACCTTTTACCTTTTACCATGTAAATGACATAAGAAACCGGGCCAGCTGCTAACCTAAAGAGTTATGTTAGAACGAATTTTTACAGAGCAAAAATTATAAAAGGCAGTTGTGCCACGTAGGAAGGTACGGCCTATACCATGTATGAAATTGATTCAAGAACAAACGTTTATGTAACTAAGTAATTGGGCATATTTATTTATTATTTAAACAACCTGAAATAAATAATTTTGTGTTGTAAATCGTACAAACTTTTCATTTCAAAACGAACTACTGCTTGTAATTTGTAATTTTGATTAAAAAGTTGCAAAAACACATCTATTTAGATTGCTAGTTTTATGGAACTTTAATTTTAGCATTCATCCTCCACTGATACTACCTCCGCTTTAAAATTATGTTACGCAACCCCCATTTAATGACATCAACTTAAAAGTCCCAATATTCTCTCTATAATTTGAGCGCACGTCATCAGTTCTATTTTTGGGGAATATAATGCCAACGTACTTATTAATAAAATCAAAACAATTATTTTAAACCACAATAAACTTTAGAATTACGTGTTTATGTTAGACTGTTCGATTTATTTCACAAAATATAAGTTCTTGAGTTGTGGGTTATTTAAAAAAAAAACCTTTAGTGAAAAGGGTTTTTGTTTTGTTTCCAGGTTACCTATCAATCGGAATTGTGGTAGTTTCACGATGGTCTAGCGTACACAAAAATATTCAAATATCAAAATTATATAAGTTACGTGACACATAAAAATCTACTAAGTTACTAAACTTGACTTATCAGTTTTACAAAACTCCAATCAAAAATGATGGATTAAATTAGTTACTACTTGATCTTACAACCAAGTTCCCACAAAAAATTGATCCGAACACAAATGCGCACGTATAGCAGCCAAGTACAAGCAAAACATAACGCGAAGAATCGTACACGATTTTTTACCACCCAGCTTTTATTCGGAAACCAGATTTTTAATCCGGCTCATATTAAATAGCACTGATCCTTGAACTCGTAGAAATCGATTATCCGAAGGTTTGACATCGCTGTCTGTTTCCATTCTCGAGTTACACGAGGAACAGACAGACAGACGGACAAAACCATCACATAAAGGGACTTTTTTTCTTTCGAAAAATTCCCCTAAAGAGGCAACGCTTACCTTGATTTA